GGAAATCTGCTGTCTGAGGGGTCCTGGAGAGCAGCCGTTTCCAAAGAGCTCGTTCCTTTGGCTGGAGAGAGCCCAGCCCAGGTGCAAGGGGTCCCTGGAGCCCAAGGAGCCTGCCTGTCCCGGCTGTGGAGACGGGTCTAAAGGTACCGTCTCTCCGGGCTGGCGTGTGAGCCCTCGCAGTGCCAGGCCTCCGCGTGTCCGAGTCTGGCAGAAATGTAAATTGTCATCACTCCTGTCTCTCTCAGTTGGCTTTGCACATTGGAAAACATCTTACGTGGCACCGTTTAGAAATGGATCCTTTCACATCTCTGCCACAAAGATGCCGGAGGGGCTAGTGGCTGTTCACGGGCTGGCTTGTAGAGAGCGAAGGTCTGTGCTCTAGCTCCGGAGGCAACTTAACCCTGTCCGTTTTCTAGGCAGGGAGGCTACAGTTAGCGGTCTGCAGCCCCTCTACCCACCCGTGTGCGTCAATCGGCTTCCATGAGCTCCTGCTTTTCCAGAAGAAACATGATGCTGAGTGCTTTTGGGGAGAAGCTCACGGTTTTGGAGGAGTCCGTACTTCAGGGCCATGCGTTTGCTCACCGGGATCTGAGCCGTTTGCAATGCAGAGCTGGCTGGGGAGCGAGGGGTCTGGCTCTGCTCGCACAAGCCAGGTGCCATCTCTGTCCCTGCTGCCGTGCTTGTGGGAAGCAGCAGGGGGTGCCGGCGAGCTTCCTTGTCCCGCAGCACCAAATGACCAGCCATGCGCCTGATTTTTAGGTGGAAATCAGGCTTTTCTGGCTTTCTGATTTTTTTTTTTCTTCTCCCACGTCGATCGAGTTCTGCCCCTTGATGAATGTGCCTTGCTGATTGGGAATGACACCGCTCACTTTTGCGGCCAGAGAAATGCCATGGTGATGCCAACCCACAAGCAGAACCAGCAAGCCAGATTCAGCCCTGGCGTAGCAAGCAAAATCCCCCTTACGCCGTGAAGAACCTGGCTCCATGTGCTCAGCTCTGAAGGGCGATGGAGCTGGGGTGAGATGATGCTTTATAGCAGTTTTGGGGACCTCCTGGGCTGGGGGTAGACGTGGCCTTGCTGCAGGCTGGTGGAGCTGCAGCTCTGTTTAAGTGCAGAAGAGGGGCTCGGCTGGTGCCAAGGCCCCAAAGCGTGGGAGGTCTGGGTTTTCTTGCCCCTTTTTGCAGGCTCCGTGCAGATGTAGTCAGGTCTCTCCCTGTTTGTCCTGGTCCGTGCAGTGCTTGCAGCAGGCCTGGTTCTCTGCTCCTCCCACGTGCTGTGCACGAAAGTGATGCTGATGCCAGTGATGAGGCGGATCACCCGTGCCTGAATTTTCCCATTAGGAAAGTAGAGATAACGGCAGCGGGCATAAGAGAGGCTCTTACTGTTGAAAAGGATGTCAAGGGCCAGCTAGTGCAGCCCCCTGCACAGATGCAGGGAAGCTGAAGTTGCCTTGAGAGCAGACTGGCCCTTGGGATGCCTCCAGGCAGGAGTCAGTCTTGTACCCGTGCCAGTAAGTGGTGCAAAAAATTACTATCCAAATCGACCCAGGTGGGACTTGAACCCACAATCCCCAGCTCCGGAGGCTGATGCCTTATCCATTAGGCCACTGGGCCTGCAGTGGGAGAGCATGCAGTGATAACTGTGCTACAGTACAGTGTGATACAACTGTACTAGCTGCATTGGGTATTTGCAGTCTGCACTGGGGACACCTTTACAGCAGTGTAATCCGTGGTGTTTTTGGACACAGATATAAATTACATTAAGGATCCAGGGTAGACAGACGATGAGCAGCTACTAGGTAGTGAGCTACTGCTGTTCTTGGCCACTAAGCAAGGGAGCAAGCAATGGCTTGCTTGCATAGAGCATTTGGCTGTCCCAAAACAGGAACAGACACAGTGCATCTATCCCAGGGGAATTGCACGCTGCTGTAGCTTTACCCCTGATCCTTCCCAGGGTAATTCTCTGCTGGAATAGAGTAGATTACACCCAGGTAGGGGTTCTGTCCTCTGTCGGGTCCTTCAAACTCGGTGTGGGTTTGTGAACAACACAGGGACTGTATGCATCCATGAGATGCTGGTAGCTGGAAACCCAAATCACGTCTAAAGAAACCTCCCTGGTTCTCAGCTTTGCCCCTCTCCTGCAGTCCTCACCTCTTTTGGGTTTTTTTGTTTAAAAAAAAAAGGCATTTCTCTCCTCCTCTTCTTTTCCTGGCACTTTGTGAGAAATGCACGTGAGACAGGCTGTCCTGAGGGCTTCTGCGAGTGCAGAGCTAATCCCGCGGGAAATGCATTCAATGCATTTCCTTCTTCTGAGTTTCATCCCGTGCACAGAGCGGGGCTTGATGGTTCCTGCGGCCCGTTGGGGCTCCGTCTCCCTCTTTGTGGGGCATAAAACTAGGCTCCGTGTAATACACTTTGTCTGGACAACACGGGTATCTGATTCTCCCTGGCATAAGCTTTGATGTGCCCAACTGGCTCCATGCAGATGGCTGTTTCGCATGGAGGCCCCTTGCCCTAGCAGCGATGCTGGGCTCTTCTGTGGAATCTGTGTCCGGATCGTTTCCATCTTTAATTGGGCAGGAATTGCTCGTTGGTGTGAATAGCTACAAGCCCCAATGCCAGCGGCAGTGCTCCTGTGTGCCCATCACTCCCTGGTTTCCCAGCCTGGTTCTGGAGTAGGGAATGAGCGACCTCCTGGGAAATGCACCTTCTCTCCCGTCCCCCGGCTCTGCCATCGCCCTCCTGGCTCGGCACCGTTGTGGCACCGTATCTGAGGGCTGGTGCTGGTCCCACGAGGGTTGCAGACCTCTCTGCGCACAGAAGCAGCGGGTGCTGCTGTATGGGCATGCCAGGACCTGCCGGCATGATGCTCTCAGGGAATTCAGGATGTCACATCCCCACGTAGCATCCCAGCCAGAAAGGCTTGGCCCTGGCTCCTCTACCACGCTGCAAGCCACCTTAAAGTAGTGTTTGACTGCTTGATTAGTTATACCCCCAGCCAGCTGGGCTGTGAGCGGGTCCTGGTAGGGGCGGTGATGTGCTCTGACATCCCCGGGACCTGGGGGCAGTGAAAGTGCCTGGTACCTCCATGGCTGTGGGGTGTGTTAGGCTGTTGGGGTGCACGGTCTCAGGCTCTGCATGAGCTATGGAGAGAAGGGACCTCAGGCCCTCACCCTGGTGCCTCTAGCAGTTGGCTGCTGGGTCTTGGCTGGTAAGTAGAGGAAGAAGCAGGCTGCAGTAAAAAAAGCTCTTCTTGTGCCTGATGCACGGGACCCTGAGTAGTACCGGAGACTCCAGAGTGACAGTGTGCCAAGTCTCTTCTCATCCTTGTGCCTCAGTTTCCCCTTCTGTAATGCACCCAGTGCTGCTGACCTGTGGCCCTTGGGACTCTGAGGCCACGCTCAGGAGTATGGAAAGTTGGTGTTGAGGTGGAAGGCTCCATAAAGGGGCAGAATGGCCCTTGCCCTTTGGCAAAGCAAGGGGTGAAACCTCGTCTCTATGAGCAGAGAGCTGCAGAGAGAGACCGGATTTGCTGAAGACCTTGCAGTCTACTTGTACTCCCGTGGGATTTGGGAGTGCTCAGCCTCCCTGAGCCATAGACCAGAACTGTCTTGGCCACGGTGGCACGGGGAGCCAGTGACAGAGCCAGGGCTTGAACCCAAAGCGCCAGTCCTGTGCTCTAGCTAGTTGCCCTCCCATAATAGCAGCCTACGATTCGTTATCACGGGTCGTTTCCTGACCAGGGAGGAGGGGAGGGGAGGGAAGGGAAGGGAAGGGAGTGTGCTGAGAGCATTTGCACTGCTTTTCCAATGTGAAGCAAAGCAAGTGGTCAGACCCCAGACTCTATCACTAAAGGCTTGCACTGCCACCCCTTACTAACCTGAGTAAGCCAGGAGCCGTGCTGAACAGAGTGGGACAATTCCCAGGCTCAGCAGGGTGTAACCTGCCTCTGACTGCAGACGAGCAAGCGGAGAGTTTGGGCCACAGTAGATGGAGCAAGGGATTTGGGTTCTCGACGCTGCCCTGGGTGTCAGAGCCGTATGTCATAAAGAGACAAGCCAAGGGGAGGTCCTAGATCTGCCGTGAAACAAGGGCTGCCATTCCTGCGATGTTGATGCATGCACTACCCATGCATTGATTTCATAGCCATTGCTCTGCTTGACAGGAAGGAAACGGTACATTTGCTCGTTGCCAGACTGCATAGCTTGTAACATGCGTGTTTGTACTGTGTGTGGTGTCACATAGAGCACTGTCATAGCATTAACCAGGAGGACTATTTTGTCTTCCCTCCACAGCCTGGAAGTGTCTCCTAAGGCAGAAACCAGCTCAGACGCTCCTTCTCATTTACCTCCTTGCTTCCCTGTCCGGTTCCCTTGTGCTGCTGTAGTCCATCCTGCCCGCATGCTAAGCACTAACCTTTTTGCAGCTAACGAAGAAAATCAGTGTGGGTGCTTGTCCCCCACCAATCCATTCCTCAACTCCCTGCAGAGCAACCCTTTCTTTGAGGACCTCCTCGCTGAGCAGGTACTAAACTCTCCCTCACCTACTCACTTTTTCTCTAGTTTCCCGCCTGGGCTGCAAGCTACCGCAGAGGTCGCTGAGAGCCTTTGTTCGTCTGCGGATTCTGGTCCCTCTGCCTCCATAAGACCTAAAGACCCACAAAAGGAGTCTTCAGCCCAAAGCACTCGCATCCCAGTTGCAGAAACTGCTCCCACACTGCCAAGATCCTTTCCTCTTCCAGAAGAGGATCCCACTGCTCCTCCAGCCCTCTCCGAGTGGGATGACACCTTCGATGCCTTTGCAACAAGTAGACTCAAGCCAGAAGTTAAGGAGGAAAGCCTTTTTAGGTCTCTAGCTATGGAGGGCATGGCCTACATCGATGACCTGGATGGGGCAAGCCCTACAGACCGTTGCACTGAACTTGTTCAGGAAAACCAGACTGAGATAACTAGTATGGCTGAAC